CTTCCAGAAGCCAGCTCGCCTCTCTCCTGGCCTCCCACCAGTTCTCTTCATGCAGGTTCTTATGTTCCTACAAGGAACCAGCTTCCCTCTGCTCCCTCCTCCCCCAGGATCTGCTCTGACTGGTCACCCACTCTGAGGCCACATTTCTCTCCCTGCTTTTCCCTCAGTGATAGACTTTGATCTCCCTGGCTGAACACAGTGTCATCAGCGAATCCCTTACATGGGACCTATTCTAAGCTGAATCTTTCACAGCTGCAATACTTGTGTAGATTCCCAGGCTCTTCTCTTCCAAATATGGCCCTGCTATTGCAGACAGGACCACACAGCAGCCTTGGATACCTGAACAAGTTCAGACCCTCCAACTTCCGACCCTGCAGGTGACAGATGGAAGGGTTCAAAGGGAAAGGAAGGACGAGGCTAGAGAATATGATAATAATAACAATAGTGTACAAGCATGAAACTATAAAACAAAAGTTAAAAGAGAAATAGCATACGTGAACACATCTGTTTTCAGAGCTTTATCAAGTTTTGTTAGAGACGAGAGCATGGGCAGTATGGACTGAATTGTGCATCAGATGGGAGGTGTTGGCATTATAAGTAGATCCAAGAGGAATCAGCTTAAGTAGCAAAACACACCTGCTGGCATTTTAGATGATGAAAATCTCAGATACATTAAATTCCAGGGAAGACTTAGGTTGGGAAATTTGAGATTATGTTTGTCAAACTTTTCGCAGCTGGTTTTTTTTTTTTTGACATTTTTTAAAAAAATTATTTGTCAAATCATGTGCTTTATCATCATGGTTCGCACACAGTAGGACTCACATGAATTCTCGTGTGTGTGTGTGTGTGTGTGTGTATGTGTGTGCAGGCAAGCAGGTACAGTGCCTGTGTATGTTTGTCAGAACATATGTGACATTCATTTGGAAGCCAGAAGGGATTGTCAACGGTCGCTTCTCAGGTCTTATGTCTTTCTTTTAGAGACAGAATCCCTCAGTGGTTCGCCTCTGGCCACACCCACCAGTCCGTCCTATGACGGAGCCCGGGGATCCGTTTGTCTCTGTCTTCCCAGATCTGGGATAACCAGCACGGGCCTGGTGGTTGGTTTGTGTTCTGGGGGTCGCACTCAGGTCGCGTTTTACAGGGCATCAGCGGCTTTACCGACAGAGGTGTCTTCCCAGCCTCAACAGTACTCTCCACCATAACCTTCTCACTGAGCTGTTCGCTTTCACACTGATTTTAGCTTCATCGCTATGGTCTACAGGAATTATGTCGACCTCTGTTTTAAGATTCTAGTTATCATTTTAACAGATAAACTTAGTTAAGGGGCCTCTTTCTAAACATTTCCACTGTTCACATTTGCCTCAAAAGGCCTTTTAACTCTGTGAATCCCTGTATTCTATCATTTCCCGCATGTGTGTTACTAGTCCATTAGTATATGTCTGTCCAGACAGCAAAGGACAGAAACACAGGACAGCCAGCATACCTTCAAAGAAAGAGCTTATTGAGAAAAAGGAAAATACAATTAAAAAACAAAACACACACCACACACACACAAAAGCATGCAAAGGAAGGGTTATTGCGTGATATTTCCACTAGAGGGCGCGATTGCCAAGCTTCTGATTTGGCTTCTTGTTTCCCAACACTAAGAATCTTGTAGTATTCAGAATCCACATTTTGAAATTTTTCTTTTCTTTCAGTGATTTTTTTGTTTGTTGACCTCTATTTTGTCTGTCTCCTGTCTTTTCCCTCTTTCTAGTACTATATTTGGACCTGAACCCCAAATCTCATTTCTAGAGAGAGGCTGTTTCAGTGGTCCCCATTTCTATTGCTCATGTCCAGAAAGAGATCCTTTTTTATGTGTTTTGATAAGTGCCATGGAATATTTTTTGACAAAAATGAAAAGCTTTTAAAAGGGTCTTAACACTCTAAGAAACTCTGAGTTACAGCCTAAAAGAGACCAAGAGAATTCTGTATCATAAAATGGAAGTACTAATAAAAAGATAGATTGTAAATTATAAAATGGAACAAAATAAAAATTGGGAGCTAAACATTTGAGTATTTGAAATACAAATATCTTTGTGGATTCTAATATCAAAATGAGGCCAGCAAAATGTGAAGAAAATATTCAAATGGTGTTGAGTTTTGTAAATCACGCATGTGCTTTGAATGGTGACCTTATGCTTGCTAACTCACATCTGATACCACCAAATTTGAAGTTTTACCAAGTCACTGTTTTAAATCTAGACCAAACAGGCTTGAGTTTTAGTCTTGCAGGGAGCCTATCTTCTATGCATAGTATGTAGCACACATCCCACTTACACACATACACACACACACATATATGCACACACACACACACACACACACACATGGATGCACACACACACACACACATGCATGCACACAAATGCAGGGTCTCTGGCTGCTACTTTTGCCTCATGGTCTCTTGATTCAGAGAGTACTCAGCTGGCTGCTTTACAAACATCTCCTAGAAGCTCCCTCTTTAGACCTTTAATCTGTCTAAAGCAGATTAAATTATTAAAATGCTATATGGCCCGATGTTTAAAATGATTAAGAATTATTTCAATATAAACTGACAACAAGAAAGAATTATCTACCCACGTCTTAAACTAGCTCATAAATATTATAGCTCTTTATTTGCAAGCACCTGCTACCTGTAATAACAGCCCATGAGCAGTCATGAGAGAAAGCCAGCCGGGAGAAGAACAAGGAACTAAAACTAAGGTTGCAAGATGTCTTTTCGGCACTGACACCTAACTGACACTGAGCTTTTCCAGGGCAGTAGGCACTCATACAATTCTTCTCTGCAAAATATTGAGAAGAATTATCTGTAAGATTCCTTCTCATATTGGTAGTGAATAATTTCAGTGTCTGCAGGCAGCTTGCCCCTCCCCTAGTTCCTAAAATCCTATAAACTATTTTGCTTATGGAATCTGTTTCTGAAGACCCTACGTATTCATTCCAATAAAAGAAAATAACCTTCAGCATATTAATTTACAACACATTTATGAGTGTATTACACATAGACTCATCATAGAGTTAGTTAACTTTCAGTGTTAGATAATGAATTCTTGCCAGCACATCATGTGCCTTAAATGCACACATCTGTATTGTGAAGATACAGCAAATGCAGGTGATGCAGCCCAGCAAGAAAACTAGGAACAGCCGGCAGAGACTGAGTGAGTGGGAAGGGAAGAAAATTGCCAGAGGGGTGCCCCCAAAGCCACCCAGAGAGAATGGAAAAGGCTGGGGCTGACCCACATTATAAGATGTCTCAGAAACGGCCAACACTGGTGTAAGCAACAGACACCATTGTGAAGAGAACAGTGGCTTCTTAACAGAGAGAAATCCTATTGGTGTGATGAAGGTTGACTTTTCTATGGGCTGCAGAGAAGACAGAGTTTGAAAATAGCGGGAAAGTGTACATTGCATTTCTGAAAGAAATTTGACACTGAAAGAAAAATAAAGGGAGAACCGAAAAGGGGGAAATGCACTCACAGATGCTCAGCTCATTTCCTCTGAAGCACAGATCAAAGCACAGATTATATAGTCTGTTAGGGCATAGATCTGGGAAGAAATGTCAGACCACAAGGCAAGTATTAACCCCTGGATAAATCTTGGCAATATGCCTTCTTATAGCAAAACTTATTTATTAGTTTTGATCGTACATTGTGCACTTTCGGGAGTTTTTGTGTCCCATGTACACACAGGTGCCCAAGGCAGCCGGAAGAAGTCATCAGATCCCTTGGAACAAGAGGGACAGGCTGCCCAGTGTGGGTGCTGGGAACAGAAACACAGTCCTCCGCCAGAGCAGTGGGTGCTCTTAACTGCTGCGCCATCTCTCCAGCTCCTATCTCTCATTTCAAAACATTTAAAAAACCTGTCTTGCTTTAGAAAACAGTTTTATTTGGTTCTCTTTTATTTTAATCTTTGCAGGACACAGGATTAATGGGGCAGGCTAGGGCGTCCCACAGCCTGGGCTCAGGGAGCATTTCTTTACTTCCCGGAGGAAGAAGAGAAAGTACACTGGATTTACACTTCTGGTGAATTAGAGCAGAGGGCAAGCCAGAGCGTGCCATTTTTTTCTGCAGGAGACAGGGCACAGGCTTGCAAGAGGCATTTGAGGTTAAGTATCTGCTTGCTTTCTTTTTCGGCGGATTGTCTCAACCTCTCCTTCCATTCCGCTGACCACTTTTGCTGCTAAGAAATGTCACACCTTCATGAACGGCCTTTGCTATCCCTCACCCAGAGCTCTATTTAATGGGCACTCTAGGAGCACAAGACGCAAAAGCCAGAAGTCTAAATCCTGGTTGTAGTAAGTCGTAAACTGAACGTAGGCTCATCTGTAGCAAGGCGCTGAGTCTGTGACTGCTGAGGTCAAGCTCTGATTTATGTTCTCGCTGTAAGTGGCCAGTGAGAGACACATTCACTCTACAGCCAACCCACGTTTGATATGAGCTCTGTTTAGAGGGAAATCGACGTTCTAGGCCAGGCAGTGTTTGGAAGGCAGCCTAAATGATTTCTTACAGCATGTGGCGGGGCTATTGCTGACACCACCTGAGTCTGGCAGGCAGCCCATTTTCAGTGAGGGTCAAGTTTCTTCTGCTTATAGCTATCAGCTACACCTTCAATGGGAAGAAGACCCATTGTCAAAGATCTGCTTAAAGCCAGGGAGCTGGAGAAGGCAGCTCCTCCGGGCCACGGGACAACTCTTCCATCTCACCTGCTTTTATGTGTGTTTTCTTACTTTTATTAGCCAATGAAACGGTCCATAGACTCTTTGCCAGAAAGAGTGTATAGAGTTTACAGGACGTAGTGTTGGCCCCATAGAAGGTCAGACCCAGGGAGACCATTTTCCTCAATACTAGAGATGGAATGGACCTGACTTCGGAAAGTCCAAAACTGGAGAGGAGGCGGATGAGAAGACAGCCCAGAGAGGTTCTTTTCTGAGAGTCTGCCTTGTACCTGGTGCTGAGAATTCAGTTCTTCTTTCTTTTTCTGCAGCACAGTGGTGTTAAGTCAGCTCGGCAGCCTCCAATCTTTTCTTCAAAGATAAGGCAGTTAATTTCACATCGGCCCTCCAGTTGTTTACAGAGGTATCTTCTGTAAATTGCTCCCTTGGCTAGAGGAAGAGAGCAGCTGTTAGCTAGTAATCTTTTACTAATCTTTCATTACTAAATCAAAGAGAGAGAGAGAAACAGATAGACAGAGAGATAGACAGACAGAGAGACAGAGAGGCAGGGACAGAGACATACACACACACACATACATATATACATACATACATACAAAAAGACAGACAGAGGCCCAGACTCCTGGTAATTCACGTGCAATCAGCGCCTTTAGTAACCATTTGGGAAAGACACAGGTAATGCTATTCCTCTGTCCAAATCAGCTAGCTCACATGGAAAGAGAATGTCTCTTCCTAGGAAGGTAAGCAATTCACTTCCCAACTCCAAGAAACAAACTTTTTCAGCAAGATTTTTTCTTTGTATTTCCAGTACTGTCTGATATAGATCAAAATTTAAACACAGTACAATTAATATTATAGGCAAATCAACAGTAAATCATGCACGGTATCATATAATCTTAAGGTTTCAGGTATAAAATTAAACAAGAACGCTTTTATTATTGGCATTTGCAGAAGAGAAACATAAGCACTGAGGTCAAACACTCTGTGAGGATCAGAACAAAGGGTCGGACTCAGCGAGTGTGTTGCCTCCTATCGATTGTAGAATTCACTCACACCTCTGAGATTCCATGTCATTGCCTTGGCGATGGTAGTCATAGTTTTCACACACCCCCTCCCCGCCCACGTACTGGGATTCAACTATGAGTAGTCTGAGATCTGGAGTAGGTAAGCTACTGAGCTTCTATGTGCTGGTCTGGATTCAGTGAACTCCCGAGGCAGGAGGAGATGGAGAAGACAGACCGAATTGCTTTTCTATTCTGCATCGAGCTGGTTTGTAAGGGAGAGCTCAGCACAGACCCTGCTCCCTGGGTGCTCCTCAGTTCCAGGGCTGCCCCTTACTGAAAGCTCATGTAAAAACAGGTTCCCAGGAGACCTTTCTGCATCTCCTAGTCGGAGTGTGCCTTGCCCTGCTGTGGCTTCTCGGGACTTGGCATCCTGGGCCTTAGGAGAGCGGTTTTGTGTTAAAGTTCCATGTATATTATTTTCTCACTCATTTACTTATTGATGCATCATAAGTCTTTGGATAATATCACTCTTTCAGGGAATCTGCTTTTTATTAACAAAAATAATACACCAATGTATTTCCAGAAAATTAAGGACAAAGGTTTTGCTTAAATTAAAAGTTTCTGCTCATTCTGTGTAGCTGAGTGAATACGGCTGGGGACAGTGTCTCGCAAGTGGTAAGGACATGTTGCCAGGATCTCTTGTCTCTCTGTCCCAGAGGGTTAGATACTCAGGAGTTATGAAGGAAGGAGGAGAAACCTCAGAATACAAGGAGCGTGTTTCAAGGTTATTTGGGGAGGGCTAGCCAGCTGTTGTAGGTTGTTATCATGCACAAACAGACCTGTTTAAAGTACCCCCGAGTCTCAAGCAGTAACAAAAGAGAGAGTAGCGTTTCCATGAGATCATTTCCCATTATATATGAGATCAAAGAAAGTTTGGGATACTCTCAAGTTAAGATAATTGACCCAACTATGGAGAAACGGAAAAGTATAATGTGTTTTCCCATTCTAAAGCTGTCGCTTTGTCATATGAGACTGAAGATTTGAAAATCAGGGAAGGGATCTCAAAGAACAAAGAGGTCCAAATCCCTGTGGAGACTGACTGGAGACGTGGGCCTGCTGTGCTCGTTGTCGGTAAGCTAAGTCAGTGGAACTGGATTCTTCCGTCTCTCAGCTCAGAAGGACGTTTCCTGTGCTGGTTTGGCCTGAGGCTGTTAAAGGCCAAGGAGGGGAACGATTGAGGTTTCCCTGGAGACAGCTTGCTTTTCCAAAGACAGATCGGGGTCAGGTTGCCAACAGGAGCTCTCCAGTGATTGTTTTCTTACCTGGGTGAAGCTGAAGGAGAAGCAAGAGCCCAGCAACAATTAAGGAAAAGATTCGCATGTCTCCGGGCATGGAGAGAGGTGAAGGAAGCACAGCAGTGCAGCCCAGCTCCTTTATCGAGTAGAGGAGAGTAAGACCCATGCTTCTGCTCAGAACTAGCCTTAAAAGAGAACCGCCTCCATGCTCCACTGGGTAACGTGGGCCAGACGACCGGCATCGTCTAAGTCTTTTATCAGAGGCCAGGCAGAGAAAGAGCCCTGCCTTCTTGCCCGGAATATTCTAGTCCCTTTTTTCTTAGGCTTCCCCCATTTCCCTTCACGCTCCCTCTCAATATCCTCATTTCCACAAAATCTACAACTGTCCACTCGGTTTTCTTTCCTGTAGTAATGTTATATGTATAAAATGCTCTTTTACAAGTTTTAACCCCCCACTTGTTAATTAACTGATTGAAAACTGGTATAGTGGCTTTTGGTATAGAATAAATTAGCTCTCCCAGTAGATATTAAATTTCATAGGAGAAACCAGCTCAGTGTGGGTTTCTTTTTTTTTTTTTTTCCATTAGGTTCTTACATCAGTGTTATTTAATTTTCTAGTGGGAAGTTGTCTGTCCAGGGCGATTCATGACTAAACTAACAATTAGATGTAAATTGTTATTAAATCTTTCAAGCTTGTACCTATGTAAGGCTTTGAAGATGGTATAATTCTAAACATTCTTTCCATAGCCATTTGTGGTGCAAAAGCCGTATATGTTTGTGCTACACAGACAGGTGCTACCAAGAGGCCTTAAATTTGTCTAAGACCAAAATAGACAGTATAGTTTTCTTCTTCTTCCTCTTCTTCCTCTTCCCCCTCTTCCTCTTCTTTTTTTTTTTTTTTCTCCTTTTTCTTCTAAAACATCCCCAGGCTCTGGGAATTGAATCTGGGTCCTCTGGAAGAGCAAAAAGTGCTCTTAACTAGGTCCCTCAGTGCTCTTAACCACCGAGCCATCTCTCCAACCAGTAGGGGGTTTTGTGCAGGAGAGTTATCTGGAAGAGTAAAAATCAACATCCCGAACAGAGGGAGAGCTTAATGGACAAGTCTCATGCTAAGAGGAAATTAACTTCCGGGTGGGTATATGCAGAGCTGTGGAGAAGACGTGCAAGTCTGGCATACTTTGGGGGAAAGGAAACGTCTAGGAAAGGGTATAGAGCAGGGTGAGTTACTGGCGATTTTAAATGTGTTAGAGTCTTGGCCCTCAGTGTGAGATATGATGGAACCTTTAAAAGGTAAAGCTTGAAAGTCCTGCTGTGGTGACACATCCTGTCCCAGTGCTCAGGAAGTGGAGGCAGAGAGCTTCAGGCCACCTTGTGCTCCATAGTGAGTACCAGCCCAATTGGGCCTCAGACTGACTCTGTCCCAACAAAACAAAAGTAAACCAAACAAAAAGTATGTGTAGCTTCGTGTAAGTTAATTAGGTCACTGGCCTTAGAAGGAGTCAACCTGGTTCTTACGGAGCTTTGGCTCTTACCAGAGAGACTGTTACAATAAGAACGTCCCCTCCCCGCTCTCTGGCTTTTGGTTTTCCACGCTCTTTTTTTGACCTCATCCATGCTCTTTTTTCAGGATGCTGTCACCAAGGTTTGACACGGCCTGGGAGACCCTCTCTGAAGCTGAACACAGATGTCACCTGATCCTGGACTTTACCCTGTGAGTGAAATAGTTTTTTTAAATAAAGTAGTTAGACTCAGTCGTTGTGTGATAGCAAAGAAAAAATAGACTAACACAAGGCCTCTCTCCTCACCACTCAGCACCCTGTTCAACACTTTGTGAGAGACAAAGCCAGAAAAGGAGGTGCTTGCAGCTCCCATCATCCCCCTCAGGCCCAGGAACTCAGAGGCTCTGACCTCCAGGATGAAGGGTCCTCTCTTGACCCCTGGTGTCACTTTCTTTCTGTTTCCTGAGTAAAACTGGGGCCATTAAAGTGACACTAAGTACTTTGCATTGGAAAGCAGGAGGGGTGTCTGGTGGGGTGAGATTCCTTCCCACTGAAGAGCCCAGGGTGGAAAAGCACAAGCATAGGTGAAGGCCCTTTTGTGAAAGGGTTGCTTGGGCAAACTCAGAGCTCACTGCAGCTGCAGTCCAAGAGGGCCCAATGACTTCTCGACTTTGCGGTAGAATCCGGCATCATCTGCGTCACCCTAATTTTGTTGGTTTGCAGACTGCCAGAGTGGCAGGGTTGTGGAGACTTTCAAGGAGGTTCCGAGAAAAGCTGGGGAGGCACAGGACTGCATAGTGAGATCAAACTCCCCGCGAAGAGTCCTGGGACAGGCGTTGCCCAAAGAGTGAGGTCTACGCTTCCTTGGAGACCCTAGGGCATTAGGGAAACCAAGATTGTTGGGTCTCAGAAATCCTCAGGTGGCACAGTTGGTAAAGTACCACGCTCTAGGTCTGGGGATCTGGGGTTCAAACCTAAGTAGAACTACTTTGCCGAATATGGTGGCACATGCCTTTGGTCCCAGCACTGGGGAGGCAGAGGCAGGCGGATCTCTCTGAGTTCAAGGGAGTCTAGGACGGCCAAGGTTATACAGAGAAACCCTGCCTCCACTCACTCCTCATCCCCAAAGATTGTTGGATCTCTGCCAAGGAAAGCCGCACTCACCAAACAAGCCAGTCTAAAAGAAGCCATCCTTGCTTCTGGAGACAAGGCTGCCCAGACCCTCTGGAGTTCACGGCGCAGCAGAAGGCTTTTGTGTTTTAGTGTTTGCCCAGACGGATTCGGGCCTAGCTTTTCGCCATCCTTCTTTGCTATCCTCTCCTGCTCCTGATTCTTTGCTGTCCTCTCCTGCTCCTGATTCTTTTTGCGATGGAAATGTTTACACTGTGACATTGTATGTTGGAAGGATGTCTTTTTTTTTTTTTTGTCTATATATGTTCACAGCTAAGAGTTTTTGTTGACTCTTGGAAAAGACCAGACTTAGGGTTTTGAGTGTGTCAGTTTTTCCTTCAAAGTATTTCCGCTTTTAGGCACAGTTCTTTTCTATTCTATCTCCTCTCCCGGACTGACACATCAGTCATAAAACATCTTTGTCTCTAGTAACAGTCCGTTTGTTTCTTTCAAAGTCTGTTTTACATGCTTTTGGTCTAGAATTTGTTTCCAAAAATTTTCACTGAATGTGAAAATTTTTAAATATGCAACTTAAACTTTACCCTTTAAAGAATACATTCTGTTAATCTCTAATTGGGAAGGTTAATTGATTTCTCTTAATGTAATTATCAGTTCAGTAGAACTTATATCAGCTATTTAATATATATTTTCACTAGTAAACTGGAACTACAGCCCCAGTTCCGCACTTTCGTTTTTGGTGTAAAAATAAGTCGGGGGTTCTGAGTGAGGGATTCTCTTCCTGGTCTTGAAGGATGAGACAGCCATGGACAAAGACAGCTGTGGCCAGAGGGTGCTAAGTGCCCTCTAGTTGCTAGGACTGCTGAGGTTGGCCCCCGACTTCATGACTTTGGAAGGCCTTTTGCCTCTGATGGCATTGCAGCTACAGCTGACGCTTTAGTTATCAGTCTTGTGGAACCCTGAACAGAGGAGCCATCTACACCACAGAAAGACTTCTAACCTGAGGTTGTTCAAGATAGCATGTGCTGTTGTAAGCTGCTAACCTCACAGCGTGTTGCCATACAGTTCCCCAGGTGGTTGGAAGTCTTTCTGATTGTGTTTGTTTGTTTGATTTTCTAGACAGGGTTTCTCTGTGTAGCCTTGACTGTCCTGGACTCCCTCTGTAGGCCAGGCTGGCCTTGAATGCACAGAATCCGTCTGCCTCTGCCTCCGGGAATGCTGGGATTAAGGGTCATACGCTATCACTCCTGCCTCTAATTTTATGAATTCACCTCACTCCCACCCGACTCCCAGAGCTTCATGCTAAGCCTCATTATGCTGAGTTCTCTTTCTAACAGGCCATAGCTAAGGATGCGTCAATAAGCCCATGTGATATTTCTGTGACCCTCAGGAAACATATGGCTTGCTGTGCTGCACCCAGGGTTTTAGGCTCTACCTGCCATGGCAGTGCCAGGTGGGAGCTGACAGAAAAGCAATAGCTTTAATGTGGAATATCAAGCCCCTGGCAGGGAAATATTCCTGTTCCTTTCTCCCCCGCCATTTTCTCAACAGATGGTATTGACTAATGTCAACCCAGAGTCAGGAGCCCTGGTAGATGGGTCTTGAAGAGAACAGTGCTGGTGTTTCAGCGTCAGAAGGGAAAGAATGAGACAAGAGCCTGAGTACAAGATGCGCTGGAAAAAAGAGACAAGAGCCTAATGCGCTGGGCAGAACAGTGCTCAGGCTCACACGTCCCCCAGAAAACTGACAAAGTGCAAGCTTCGTGGCCGTTGGTTTTAACCGTGAGGTTTTTGAAGCTACAAATTTTATTTCGCAAGGCAAAAGTTGCAGTTTTCACCTGCAGATATCCTATGCAAATGAACATTTTAATTAACCCCTAAGAGTTTTCTTTTGCAGGCAAGAGGAACAATGCAAACTCAGTACCACAGGCATTAACAGAGTGAACAGGAGTTATTTTTACAGAGTACACCAGAACGGTTACAATCAGTGGATGATAGCACATTACCTCATGGAGAATACAATGAATGACTTTTTCTTGTATTCCATAGAATTACAATACCATCGACATGGAGGTGAAGGGCACTTTTGTTTGTCTGTTAACCCCATAACAATAAGTGAGACAGACACCCAGAGTGAGGTGGTGACACACACTCTGCCCCTTGTCTCCCAGCTGCGACTTCCCACAGGCAGCAACCTTTCTGGACCTCAGTTTCTTCAAACATGTGCAAGAAAGCAATAAAGTCGATTTCTCAGGTGATCCTGAGCTATATGAGAAAATTCTGGAGAGAGGACTTAGAAATTACAACTATTCTAGAAATGTTCAGCAGCGTCTGATTGAGTAAAAGGCATTAATTTATGTTTTGATTTTTTAATCATAAAAAGTAGAATGAAGCACAGAAGCAAAAGTGGGTGAGAATGGGCCTGAATCTCTCTGACCGTGGCCCAGTTAGGCCCAGAAGCTCTCTCCTTGGACATCTTTTCAGTATGGCTTTTAAGGCCCAAAGAGGCTCAGTGTGTTCAGATCCTTTCCCGACAGCAGAAGAAGTTCAGCTTGCACTTCCCAGCAACCTTCTCGCTGTCCATGCACATCCTCCTGCATTTTCCCCGACCAAGCCTGCACGTCTCGCACACTGAATACTCCCCTGTGCCAGGAAAGAGCTGCTGAGACATTTGCCGGGGCTTTGTAGGAATGGGAAGGACATACCTCTAAGGCCACCTGAGTAGGCTGGGTTTGCAGGTACCGTTATGAAGAAGATTTTCTAGGATTCACTCACAGGCTTGGGGGATAGCTCAGTTTAAAAGTGTTTATCATGTAAACATGAGTTTCACCTCATGAGTCTGATCCTCAGTGCCCAGATGAAAAGGCAGGCCCAGTGGTGTACAACCCTAGAGCTGGGTACTTGGGATCACTTGGGTACTTGAGGCTCAGTGGTCAGCCTAGTTGAATTTATGATAGATTGAAAACATGCAAAAAAACAATAACCCAAAACATGTCTCCTGGGAATGACATTTAAGTTTAACCTCTGGCCTTCACATATATATGGACACACACAGACACACAGACACACCACACAAACACACTGTGTAAGAAAAGCACTACCCTGGAGCATCTGCTTCCCACACTGTGGGGGCTGGAAAGGGTTAAAGACAACAGTTAACCATCGTCCATGTTCCCCGGGTGTTTCCTGCCTTTCATGGGCCCAGTGGACGTGACCAAGGAATACCTATTCTCCAGAACTAATAAAATGCACACCTAACACTACCGAAACATTTACCAGATGAAAATGAGAGGGAGAGCTTTTGGTTTCAGATCCTTGAAGCTGGGATGAATACTTTCAGTCTCAATTCTTGTTTGGGCCTAGGACCAGCTGCACATTTTCAATCAATCGCTTAATTTACCTAGCCGCCTTCGACTGAGGGACATACTGGAAACACCTGTGTGCATTTTTAACGTGCTTAGCGGTGAAACAAAATCACTACTGTTTGTACTGTATGGTATTTGCTTTAGGAGTTAAGTGTTCGTTAAGGGCTGGAGAAGCTAGTGCTCCAGGGCTTCTGCGTTACTCTGGAATACTGTCTGAGTCTCTTCAAGTGGTTGTTAACTATGATGTCATATTAGTGTGTGCATGTGAGAGAAAGAATGTGTGCACACCAGGGCGAGGAAAGGCATTGGCTATTCTCCCCATCACGCTGCTCAGCCTTGAAGCACGTTCTCTCTTTAAATCTTAGCTCTCTTTTTTTTTTTTTGTCTAGCTGGGCTGGTAGATTTAAAATGTCCCATTGAACATCCTAGTTCTGCCCGCACAGTGCTGGGCTTACAGGCTCAAGCAAGACTGTGTGGGTGCTGGAGTCCAACCCTGGGTCCTCAGGGCAAGCACTCCTACACAGTGAGCCATTTCTCCAGCCCTCCACAGATATTTTAATATGCCTTTCAAAGGTGCTTACGCTGTGCTGTCTTCCCATGTGAGAGACCCTCCCGAGCACAGGCAAAGCCTGTGGCTAGCCACCATAAACGGCTCGTCTATCAGGAAGGCGACTTCCAGGAGACCATCTTCCCCATTCTGCTCGATCCTCCTCACCCAGCTGCGCTTGTGCAGACCTCATTCAGTTTGGGTTCTAAGATAAGGGAAGCCATGCTCTCTGGGTCGTGCTAATTGATGGGGCTGAGGTTTGAACCCCAGCAACATAAACTTAATGGGGAAGTCCCTGGGAAAATACAAATATGATCACGGTCACAAGAGTAACAGAAGAGGGAGCCAACGGATCAGGACTCAGTCCTTTCACAACTACCTCTGCTCCTTGGCTTCATCAGTCAAAGATAGCTAACTGGGCCTGAGTCCCAAAGAGAAAAAAAGAAAGTGTAGGTAAAGGGTATAATTTACCTCCTGGAAATGACTGGGAATACTCAAGTCCTGCCCAGGACCCTAAATTTAAAAAAAAAAAATACATTTTAGGAAAGAATATTAAAACAAGACACGACGCTGTATAAAACTTCTGCATGTGAAATGTCTCCTGAGGTCCTACTGGTGTTATGGCTGCCATCTTTATCTGATCTCAAGACTAGCGCTCCTGGCAGCCAGAGAGACCAATGTACAAAACAATAAAATAAAAATGAAAGCTTTATTCGGCTGTCTTTTAGGAAACATTAGTGCCCAAGAAATCTTTGGGGAGAGATTTACTCTCAATTTCACAATGATGCATGGAAGAATCATTGCGTTTCATGATCTGCTCCCATCACCACATCAAAAACCCATCAACTTTGATTTACCTGGCGGCAGTTGAGCTACAATGAAGAACAAAGCAAAACCAAAATAGAATGTCTCTCTGCTCAGGGCCATGTCTGAGGGGAGAGTCTTCAGGAGACAGGATCAGGGTTTCTCTGAGGGGACAAGAAAGCATTTATATTTGAAAGTAATGGATTATGTTCTTGATCAGTGAAGGGAATCAATTAAGAAAGCACAGTTGCATGCTCCATTTGCTAGGATCAAGAGCTGGCGCAGTGGGCTATAACCTTGGAGCTGGCAAAGGCCTACTTCTCAACACCTGACCAGCTTGTAGAATGGAAGTGGATGTTTGTCCAAGACTGGGAGAACCCCGGGCCATGCCTGCTCCTAGTGCAGGAGTCTAGGGAAGAGGACCTTGGTAAGTCTCCATATCTTCTCAAAGACCACGGCACACATACTGCTTTTGCAGCAGGGACCCGGTATGATTTCAGCTCCCGAGTACTTTGAATGCTCACAGTGCTGACAGGGCTCTGGCAGGGACTGGCGGGCAATCCACGACGCGTACACTTACCCTCCTCATTCTCACTGCTGGGCGTCAAAAGGAATATTCATGCCACTCATGTCAACCCCCTAAACTATGTCCTGCTTATTGCCACATTGATGCTTATAGTTATATGATATTCTGGTCTTCGGTCGTGGTGGCAAAGGCGGGCCTGGTGTCACAGGTTTGTAACTCAGCTTCTCCAGACACGGAGGCAGGAGCATCACAGCCTAAAGGCTTGCCTGGGCTACACAGTGAGTTCAAGGTCAGCCTGTGTAATTTTGGTGAGATTTTATCTAAAATCGGTAAAAGAGGGCTGGGATGTACAGCTCGGTAGCAAAGTGTTTGCCCAGCATGCACAAAGTTTACATTCAGTTCTCAGCACCCTCACCTCTCACATGTGAGAGAAGTGTACACTCTAAGGTTAGACAGATACCACCTTAGACACACCAACAGTTTTTGGCACCTCAGCTTCTTTATCCTTAAAATTGGATTGTAATATCAGCCCCATGGGGGCATTTGAGAACACTGCATATGACATAGAAGTACTTAGAAGAATGTCTAATGCTGATGATTGCTGCTCTTATTATTACGTCCCTATTTATATAGAACTCTGAACAACCACTCTGCTAAATGTGTGTAGTAATAATGACGTCTTGTCTTCTGTACTCATAGATCAATGTCACTTCTCACATTATATGGGAATGAACACAGAACTCCACAACTGGGCAGTGTGCACAGTGTGAAAGACTTTGCAGCTCCCAGCCCTTAGTGGGATACTTTAAAAATACCCCTTCGCCGAAATCTCAGGGGTCCATGCGGAAGAGGAGGTGGGAAGGTTGTTAAGAGCTGGGGAACTAGCTGGTCCACACACATCATCGAGGCTGATGAATGCGTGAACCACAGAGACTGTGACTGTGTGCACAAGACCTGCACAAGTTTGAGTCAGATGAAGTTGCAGCACAGAGAAGGGGAAGTGGACACAAAGCCCTCTCCTCCACAAGAAGCTATTCATTTGTAATTGAGAATTGCTAGAAGAGGGAAACTCAGTTTTCCTGAGTGCAGTGACACTGGGCCTGTCAACCACACTGCAGGACAGGCCTTGTGCTCGGGATAGATGGCCAACACAAATCAGACAACAGGAAGCTAGGTGGGTGGTGGGGAGGATCTGAGAGGAGCTATGGGGAGGGGAATGAATGTGGTCAAAATATATTGAGTGAAATTCTCAAAAAAATAAATAAAAACATAAGCAAAGCAAAACAAAACAAAACGCCCTCTGAGATTAAGTAAAATGACCTAAGTAATGCTTGAAAAGGGGTGCATATGGCAAAGTCCAGAATTTAAAAACAAATCATGGAGTGCATGCTCAGGTCAAGCTCTGTTCCCAGCGTGGGCAGCTCACCAGGATGGAATCTGCAGTTTAGAGTCCACCTGAGTACAGGGCACCAGTCCTGAACTGAAACTCTGAGATGTTGTCTATGTGTGCCCACACCACTCCCGTGACCTGGAACCATCAAGGGACACAGCCAGGATTAACAATACAAATGTCTTCACCCCGTGTTCTTCCATCCCCAAACCTACACCCAGCCGTCCACCTCTGTCCACCTCTGTTCTACTCCCAGGCCTATTTTCCTTCTTGGGAACTTTCCAGCACCAGAAAAAACAGCACTGAACTGTAGGTTGCTCGACATCCCCTGAGGCAAATGGGCTTTCTGAAGTAGGGCGTGGGCTCCTCCGTTCAGATAAGCTTCACTGATCAAGAAGCTGTTCCGTCTGGAGCAAATGTATAAAGGTGGGTGTTGGTCCTTTCCCACGGCCAATGCACTGACCCTCCATGGCCCTCCAGGTCACGAAGACATTCTTATTTCTCTTGGCTGTTTTCTTCTTTCTGGACACAGGTAAAGAAAACGAGCATCTTTATATGGAGGGTGAGCGGTGGTGATGTCCCAGACGCAAGGTCTATCCTGCAAATGCCCAGGCAGGATCAACCCTAGGATTGTAAGGATACCTTTGATCTGTTGGTTTGTTCTCTTGAAAGAGAACAGTTGTTACAGAAGGTAACTTTCCTACAACCTGTTTATCAACAAATCATGTATCTCATTTTCCATTGATGAAAAGTTGTCACAGGTTTGAATAAGTTAAAGGGCATCAAGAAGGATACTGATGCTCATCAACAAAAACATTGGACAAAAGTTAAGGGAGGGAATGAAAAGAAAACAAACATGCGTTTAAAATGTGTTTTAAGTATTGAATAAATAGGTAACAGGGAGCTAGAAAAAGAAAGATGTGGAAAAAGAAAGTGATTCAACAAACATCCATGCCCAACATGGCATCAGGCAAAAGAGCTCACTGGAGACTGCTGTTTGTTAATTGCATGTCTAAAAATGGATGCTGTGTTGTAGACTCCTGGTAAGAAAATGCATTTAGTTCTGCACAGCCAGTGGATTTAGGGAGAATTCTGTTCTGCTTTTAATTTAGAGATATTCAGAGATTTTTTCTTTTTGGCTTGAAACATTTACCATGTGTGTGTGTGTGTGTGTGTGTGTGTGTGTGTGTGTGTGTGTGTGTGATGTGCATGGAGGCTGGGACCCAGATGGGCGGGTCTTCTTCCCAGGGCCACACAGGTAAGGTGGTATTGGTGCTCTGTGTTGGGAGCTGTACAGTGAGAGCCATGTGGGACATCCTTCCCCCATCAGAGTTCTCTGTACTTTCTTACACTTTTGGCAAGTTTGAAAAGACGTAGCAGTATCCTTTTCAAAATTAAGGTTCAAGAATAGACTCTTACCAGTTCCAGGTTGCTGAAGAAAGGGATTCTCAGGAGTCAAAATGAATCCATGTGACAAATCCGTGTGAGTGGATTCTGGAGCAGGATAGGGCTATCTAGACCTTCAGTGGGTGAACAGCGTCTCAGGCATCCTGCTGGCACTGGTGTGTACACTGGAGGCCGAGGAGAGGTATTAAGACCATTCATATGTCCTACAGTTAGTCCATACACTGCAAGATTATACAGTATAAAACTATCAGTCATACCAAACACACCACACGTGACTCCATTGGGACCCATTAGAAGGCTATAGGCAAGGATGTTCTTTTTGGTCCAAAAGCTGCTGGTTCATCACTGTGCACAGGGTGCGCTGCAAGGATGGTGGGTGTAAGGTCTTGAGCCTCTAGTCTGACATAGCCTAACTATGTTAGGAGAGCAGAGAAAGTATTGAAAACTGCAGAGAAAGCCAGAGCTCAAGGGGCTTTGAAACGATGGGCCCCCGTGCTTGTGAATTGAGACCCAGACAGCAGCTAGTCTGTCTGAGAGCAGTCACTCCCTGGGTTTTAGGTTTCACATAAATTTGAGCTGGCAGCTTCGTGCATTCATGGCAAATGGATCCTATGTCTGTTCCATACCTCCACAGCATATCCTTGTGAATGCTGTTGACAAGGCGCTAAGGCAAGAACTGCAACTTTATGCAAAATGCAAAATAAAAGTCACTGGGAGCTGGTCTCAACTACTCACCCTTCCCCTAAAGTGTCTGATGTTTACAGTGGGATTTTGGTGGAATGTGATAGAGAAATGAGACAGTCTTCTCTACTTGGGTATTTGCATTGGCCCATTAGACACCCGTGGACAAAGGTGTTCTCTGGCTTCCATCTGCCTGGGCCATCACTGTGAGTTGGATATACTACAGGCCTCTTCACTTTCTGTGAACTCCATTAAGCTTTTGTCCCGTGTATACAGTTACCAGTTCTAATGCCAGTCTTGAGCCATTCCCCCTAGTCTCAGACATTGCTCTCAACTCTTACTGAGCAGCAATCTTTGAAAGTATGTTAGAACAGTTCCAGGCTGTGAAAGTGCTTGTGAGTTGATTTGACAATTTTTCTAGCAGATTTGTATAAAAGGATGCTATTTCCTCTCTTCCAAAGTCCTAAACAACACTGTTCAAGTATTAGCTATTTTTTTTCCTGCCCTGTCACCTTGTGTGACAAAAGAGAGGTGTCACATAGAAAATGTTTCTGCTAGCAGTTCACCTACTGGAGGACAAAGGCACACACACGGCTTGTAAGGAGACAGTTGCTGATGGTACAACAATGATGGGGAACGGTTAGCCACACTTCAATTACTTAAAGAACTAACCTTGTCGGGGGCTCTTCTTTTGTGTAGCCAACAATGCTTTTTTCGACGAGAAATGCAACAGACTTAACGGGCGATGCACAGATAACTGTCAGAAGAATGAAGAACTTGTTGCTCTCTGTCAGAAGGGTCTGAAGTGCTGTGTGACACTGGCGCCATGTGGACAGAGCAGAGTCAATGAATCGGAAGATGTGGGGCTCACAGGCAATCCTGAGTGACCTTGCTTTCTCCTTTCCCTGTGGCACCTGCTGGGAGCAGATACTTCAATGAAAATAAATGCCTGATTTTCCTCAGCTTGTCAAGTTCTTCTTTCAGAAGGCCGAGAATGGCTATCCAAACTTGATGGTCCCTCTATCCTTGCTCATTTTCCTACAGTTTTGTGGCGCAGCGATTGTCCCAAAGTTATATGATATTTCTCCTAAAGCAAGGGGACTAAACTCCTTTAGCCTTGGGCAATTGACTTCAACCAAAGGGAGGGAGGAAGGAAATAGTTAAATGGAGAAATGAGCAGGTATCTCGATGAATATCTGTATTAGTGATAGGTAGAAGATAGGCAATAGATATTAAAGACTTGTGTTTGTTGACACCTGCTCTAAGTAACCGCCATGAATAGTGCCTTTAATCAAGGTTGATTCACTATTTCTGTGGCTGGCCTCTACCTTTCCTAGATTGTTTCCTGATGTGGACACGCATTTGCAGCTGTTTTGTTGGGGGGAGGGGCATGTTTTTTCAGGTCTACAGTTGTTGGTCACGTCATAGCTGAAAGTTCACCTTAAGAAAAAAATACCCACTAAATTCATTTCCAGAGTTTTCACACTTTTTTATTGTCACTGTCAATACGATCCACTTGAAATGTACTTCAGCTAGTATTTGGTTTGTCACTGCTGTAAGCACAAGTTATCTTATTATTAGCAAATTACCATTTTATTTTAGCTGTTTTGAGAACTGTGTATTCACAGGTCTTTCATTTAAATCTACAGCCATGTCAAAGAGTTAATTTTCCTCTAAGATGTGGAACTTGCTGAAATTACATTTTGGATTTTGAATTTTTATTTTTTTTCTCAGCATAACTTGATAGACAAAGGTCACATCTCCCTTAAATTGCCTTGGCAAAACAGTTTTCAGTATTTGAATGGTTAAAAAATTCATGTACACACAAGCAGCACCAGCTTTTTTCTAGAATCTGTATAGTGGTTTTGTCCATAGGCACCAAATGTTGGAAGCAATAAAGCTATCCATCAGGAAGTCAGTTGCTAAACAAAAGAGTGACATACGCACACAGTAGATTATTATCCTGCAGCAAGAAGAAATGACCTATCAGTTCATAGAATGTCAAGGATAAAATTCAAATGCATACAGAGAAGAGAGAGAAGCCAGCCTGGGAGGGAGATGTTATACACCTTGTATTTCAAATTTTGTGTAAAGCTATAAAGACACCATCAATAATCAATGGTTGCCAGGGACTTACTGATGCTGAACTGTTCTCCCTGACACTGGAGTAATGGAAACATGCTCTACTTTGTGTCATTGAATGCTTAAAATATTAAGAGTGAGTGTGTTGGCAAACCATATACCGGAGAGGAAGACAGTCCTGACCTAAGTAGCTGCGGAAATGAGTATTGTCTGTAAATCTAAATGTACAGGATGCCATGCAGAAAGCACCACTCTAGTTAATGAAATCGATGCCCGTGGGAACACACAGGGGTGTTTGTTTAACAACTAGGATACTGCTGTGTACCTCAACACTGGCTACCAATGAATGGACGGTAGATGACTGGAGCTGGGTTGCTTACTGCAAGAGTTTACAGATAGGCAAGGGCAAATTGAAATGACGTGTGTGGTGATAGGCTAAAGGTAGAGATGCCATGACGAGTTCATGGTTAGCTCAGTATAGACATAGTATTACATACACACAGATTCACGGCTATGTAAATATAGATATTTCCTTGCTCTTCCAGTTAAGGGAGTCTAGAAACAACAAAACTCCGGAGGTGTTTTCAGAAATGACGAGTCCCAAGCCTGGGGTGTGATTTATACAAGATATACTTAGAGAAATAGATGATGCCAGGATAAATGGGCATGTGTCAAAGGATGAGAGAGTGCCCAGCGACTCCAGCAGGGTTACCATGGACCAAAGCGACAGTGGCTCAGCCGCTGTGCACCGCGATAACAATCTGCAGGCGAGATGTCCGCACTCCACGGGAAGGAATAGCAACAACGACACAACCTAGTGTTATAAACCTGGCTAACAACGTGTGACTAGGGGAGTCATTGAACCTAGGGAGGAACTTACTGTTGAGGCCATGCTAAATGGAGGCAGTAGCAAACTCCCTTTAGCTATTGATGATCATGTGGTGTATCAGGGCTATTCTCAGCTTTTGTCAGAGACGCATCTGTGTCCAATAGTTAGTGGCCGATACAGAGCCTCATAGCTGGGCAGATTGCTGGGAATAAATGACTTATCCCTAAATGGGACCGTCAGTATAACTCATTGCAAGTCCCAGGAAACATCACAGAAAGAGGAGTGGGAAAAAATGTAAGAGATGGAGGATTTGGAAGAGTCTGTCTTTGAAAATGCCGTCTTCTGTACATAACACACCAGTGAGCTTACAAACACACAACAACTGTGGCTAGTTGCACAAGACAGCCACAAAGAAATAGGACATGGATATAGGAAGAAGAGCTTTTGGAAAAAAAAAAGTGGTGTGCAAGAGTGGGAGGGAATGAGAGGGCACAATACATTACATTTTTTAATAGTTCTTTTTTCACAATTTATTCATTATATATCCCCGAATGAAGCCCCTCCCTCAACTCCCCCCAGTCCTACCCTCCTTCCCTCTTTTTCTCTATCTCTTTGCCCTAGTCCACTGAAAGGGGGAGTTCTCCTCCTCTGCCATCTGCCCATAGCTTAAAAGTCTCATCAGGATTGTCTGGATCCTCTTCCTCTGTGTCCAGGCAAGGCTGCATCCCCAGGAGCAAGGGACCAAAGGGCAGGCAATCGAGTTCCTGACAGAGGCCGCCCCTGCTGCCCTTACCTGGGAGCCCTCATGGAGGCTGAGCTGCCAATTGGCTACATCTGAGCAGGAAGTCTAGGTGCTCTCCATGCATGGTCCTTGGTTGGTGTATCATTCTCTGCAGGAGCCCCTGGGCCCAGATTTTTTAGCTTTGTTGGTCTCCTTGCGGGGTCCTATACATTACATTTATATATATACTGTCAGAAGTGTGTTAGGAGAAAAAATAAAAGGAGGTGTTATAACAGCTGAGAAGTGTGTAGAAACAGAAAGGCTACACAGAGAAAAGAAAGAAACAGTCCCCCTCTCCATTGCCAGTTCACAGGAGAAGGAGCTGAAGCCACAGACACAAGGCTTGGGCAGTTGTTCCGCATGGGCACACAAATTGAGGGGCCTCTGAGGCATGTGAGTGGCTCTCTAGGGTCAGCAGTGGTTCCACGTGTGGAAGGCCATGAAGTTTCTGCTTCTGCCCTCACTGGCAGCCCTCAGCCCTCACTGGCACTGCTCTCAGCTCACATGTTGTCTCATGGTGAGTAGTGGGGACTGCTGGAGCCAGCTAAGTCCCACCCCTCTGCAAGATGGAAAATTCCCTGATTAGAGGCTCAGGAAGAAGCTTCTCTAATTTCCAGAAGTTGGAAACAGCCCAGATGCCCCTCAGTGGAGGAATGGATACAGAAATTGTGGTACAACTATACAATGGAATATTACTCAGCAATGAAAAACAAGGAAATCATGAAATTTGCAGGTAAATGGTGGGATTTGGAAACGATCATCCTGAGTGAGCTGTCCCAGAAGCAGAAAGACACACAAGGTATATACTTACTCATATAGACATATAATATAGGATAAACCTACTAAAATCTGTACACCTAAAGAAACTAATCAAGAGGGAGGACTCTTGCTAAAATGCTCAATCCCTATCTAGAAAGGCAAAGAGGATGGACATCAGAAGAAGGAGAAAAGAGGGAACAAATCAGGAGCCTGACACAGAGGACCTCTGAAAGGCTCCGCCCTGCAAACTATCAATGCAGATGCTGAGACTTATGGGCAACCTTTGAGCAGAGTGCAGGGAATCTTAGGAAAAAGTGGGAAACAGTAAGATCTGGAGAGGACAGGAACTCCACAAGGAGAGCAACAGAACCAAAAATTCTGAGCACAGGGGTCTTTCCTGAGACTGATACTCCAACCAAGGACCATGCATAGAGATAACCTAAGACCCCCTGCTCAGATGTAGCCCATGGCAGTTCAGTATCCAAGTGGGTTCCATTGTAATAGGAACAGGGACTGTCTCTGACATGAACTGATTGGCCTGCTCTTTAATTACTTCCCCCCTGAGGGGGAAGCAGCATTACCAGGCCACAGAAGAAGACAATGCAGCCCCTCCTGATGAGATCTAATTGACTGGGATCAGAAGGAAGGAAAAGAAGACCTTCCCTTGGGGACTTGGGGAGGGGCATGCATGCAGAGGGTGGGAAGGGAGGGACTGGGACAGGAGGAGGGAGGGAACCACAGGGGGGGGGATACAAAGTGAATAAAGTGTAATTAATAAAGAATTTAAAAAAACCACTCACCCTCCTTCCCCTCACTTATCCCTCCCCTCTCCCTTTTTCTTCTCCACTCTTCTCTGCCTTATGCATTTTAATACTGTTTTAACCTTTAAACTAATTTTATCATAAAAATGCTTAATTTTTTATTCATCTTCTTACATTTACCTGCTTTCTTTATGTATATTTGTCATCAGAGGCTTTCTTCTCTCGTTCCTATCATATTATTTTCTGTGGTTATCAGTGGTTGGCTTCAGTGGTTCTGATTGTGTGTCTGTGTCTGTATCCAGTTTGTTTGCTGTTATTGCTGCTATGGTGGTTTGTTTTCACCTATCTGAGTGACATTAGGGGTTAAGCTCTCAAGATAAGACCATTCACTAGCATGACTCTCAGATAGCAGCCAGAGTTGATCCCCAACAGTATACAAACCATGAGTTAGAAACATGATGTGAAATAGGAAATAGGAAGGACACATGACTTCTCTAAAACCCCACACAACTCTGAAGTAGTTAAATTTAAACATCCTGATGTGTGAAGTGGCAAAGAATTCAAATATAATTTTTAAAATAATCAATAAGCCCACTTCAGATTTAAATAAACAAAAAAAATGAAGAAAAAAGGCAATCCATAACCTGGAGTTGGATAGCAACAACTTGGGTGAGA